GGAGGAGATGGACGAGGCGAGCCTGCTGTCCGAGCTGGTGGAGGCGGCCTCCTTCCTGCAGGTCACGTCGCTGCTGCAGCTGCTGCTGTCCCAGGTGCGGCTCACCAACTGCCTGGAGCTGTACCGCCTGGCGCAGGTGTACGGGCTGCCCGACCTGCAGGACGCCTGCCTGCGCTTCATGGTCGTCCACTTCCACGAGGTGCTGTGCCAGCCCCAGTTCCACCTCCTGGGGTCTCCGGCTCCAGCCCCGGGGGATGTCAGCCTGAAGCAGAGGCTGAGGGAGGCCCGGATGACTGGGACCCCCGTCCTCGTGGCCCTGGGGGATTTCCTGGGGGGACCCTTGGCCCCTCACCCCTACCAGGGGGAGCCTCCGTCCATGCTCAGGTATGAGGAGATGACTGAGCGTTGGTTCCCGCTGGCCAACAACCTTCCTCCCGACCTGGTGAACGTCAGGGGCTACGGGTCGGCCATCCTGGACAACTACCTCTTCATAGTGGGCGGGTACAGGATCACGAGCCAGGAGATCTCTGCTGCGCATTCCTACAACCCCAGCACCAACGAGTGGCTCCAGGTGGCCTCCATGAACCAGAAGAGGTAAGCACCCCGCAGAGCTCTCCTGCCTTCTCATCCGTTCACTCGTTCACTGATTCATCCCCCCAGTATTCACTGAGCAGGCGCCCGAGGCTGTGCTGAGGTGGGACTGGCATCTTCATGACTGTCGTTGGCCTTGGCGCTGGCAGAGTTCCACCTTAACTAAGAACTTTCAAGGAAGGCGAGGCCCCAGTGCAGTCCACTAGCTGAGTCGTTTCCTTGCAGATACTGTGTCTTTAGGCGAACTGCTTTCTTTGCCTTTATCCCAGTGGGGGAAAAAACAAAACAAAAACATATTGTGGTTTCATGGGATGCTTAAAACTGTTCTTTAATTTCGCTTTTATTTTTACCTTTTTTTTTATTTTTTAGGCTCTGATCCTGATAATGACACGTTGGGCTGTAACCTGTAACACTGACGTTGGGGAATTTTTTGTTGTTGTTGTTAATGACTTTGAAGCCTTCCACACTGGAGCACCCATCTCTGATCAGGAGATAATCTTTAGGGCTGTATTAATATTGAGTGTGTAGGGTTGTCTTTCTTATTTTTTGCCCTCTTGCATCTCACTTCCTCCCAGATAGTCATCATTATTGACCCAGAGCTTGAGCCGGGAAGTGGTCACCTACACTATTGGAATATTTCTACCCACCCCGACCTTCTCCCTTCCCATCCTGCAAAACCCTCCCAATATGAACTTGAGTGACTTGCAGAAAGGAAGAGAAAAGGAGGAGATTGGGGGGCGGGGAGAGAAAGGAGTCAGGAAAGGAACAGGAAAACAAGAGCAAAGCAGATACAGGAACACGGGGTAGGAAATAAAGATGGTAGGGCCCAAGGTGGCCCAGAGCCATTCAGAAGTGGGACAAGAATCAATGTAAGCCAAGAAAGGACAAGAGTGCCCTTTCTCCTGGGCCACCTGTATCCATCTTCAGCCCCACCATGCTCTCTGCCCTGAAGTAGGAAGCAAGGAGCCAGGGGACTTGCCACCTGTCAAAAAGTCTTAGCAAGAATGGGGAACTATTACACGTGTTTACTTCACTTGAGGGGCACCCCAGGCCATAGCCATCTACATGTTAGCATATTTTCTTCCATCCCTTTTTTAGTGCATTTATACCATTGAGATGGTATCATTTAAAATTTGATGTCAGGAGTGTTATTTTAAAAGAAATTCTAGGAGCCTTACTTGAAGCAACAAAGAAACATTCAGTGGTTATGAGTGGTGCTCAGATTAGGGATGGAAGGCCCAGGAGGATGTCTGTCACCTCTACACACATGTCTCCAGCTGTATCAACTGGTGCTTAGCACGCCTCCCCTAGCTTCACAGCTCGCTTACAATACCTCATAAATTCTTTTACTTCTTGACAAATCCTTGGTAGTCTTTTTTCCTCCCCTCTCTCTCAAAATACCCTTTCTGTCCTCTTTGGATAAAAAAAAGTATTCGAGTGATGCCTGAATACATGCTTAGAAAAGTTGCAGATGACACAAGAAAACTATTATAGAGTAAAAATGTCTATCTATAGACATACTTATATATTTAAATACATATTCATATTTATAAAATATAAATGTATATTCATATAAATATAAATATGTTGATAGTGGTTAATGGAAAACCGAATATATGTATAATGTACATATGGGGGCATATATATAATTTATACATGTATATTTTTTACTCAAGTTATGCTGATTATTATAGTACTTGGTGTTTCCAGTTAACATTACTGTGTTTGACAGTTTTTTCAATATCAACAAACATAGATACACCTCACTCTTGTTAATGGCTATGTAGTATTCTAGCCCATGGATGTGCCATAATGTAATTAACTCTTCCCTTATTCATGAGCATTTAGATCGCTTCCTTTTGCCATTATAAACAATGCTATATTGAACATCCAGGCATATGTGAGTTAGTACTATATGGCAAATTCCTGGAAACCCTGGATAGGTGACTGGTGTGAATATCTCCGATTGAGAGATTATTTTCATATGATTTCAGCCACTTGTATACTTTTGTAACTGGCCTTTGCCAATTTAAAAAAAAAATTGTCTTGTTTATCTTTTTCATATTGATTTTATAAGTTATATTCATGTATATAGATACTGCTCTCTTGTCTTTTAGGTAATGTTGCATGTTTCCCCCGCCTTTATTTTATCATAAGCTTCAAAAATTCCTTAAGTGACTAGGGACATAAAGTCAGTGAGTAGGGGGTGGGAGTTACGATGAACCAGAGAGCTGCTGCCCCACCGCAAGAGGGCTCTGCCTCTCAGCCACAGCTGGTTACTGTATTGCCAAGTAGAAGTGAGAAATGGTGTTGCCAGACATCTAGATATCCTGTTTTTTTAAGTGTTGGCAGCTTACTCCATTTAAAAAACAAATCAACGAAAATGAGAAAAACTTTGCAGACCCAACAAAGTGCAGGCTCCAGTTTTGGACCTCAGGTTTATAGTCTATTATTCTTTTGTTTTTGAAAGATTTTTAAAAATTGATTTTTAGAGAGAGAGGAAGGGAGAAGGAGACAGAAACACCAATGTGAGAGCATAACATCGATCAGCTACCTCCTGCATGCCCCCTACCGGGGATGGAGCCTGCAACCTGGGCATGTGCCCCGACCTGGAATTGAATTGGCAACCCCCTGGTGCACAGACGATGCCCAACCAACTGAGCCATACCAGCCCGGGCTAGTGTGTTCTTATATAAAGATACTTAAAAATTTTTTTGTAGTCAAATTTGTTATGTGTTCTTTGAGCTTTCTATCTCCAATAGGAAAGGATTCTACAAGCTAAGAATATATAAATACTCATCTACCTCATGACTATTTTATAATTTTACCTTTAGATCTGAATCTGTTTGCGATTTATTTTCATTTTAGGTATAGTGTGGGGTTATAGTGTTTCTAAATGTCCCAGGAGCCTCAGTCCTTCTCGCTGTGATTTGCAAAACCAGTTTTCATGTTCTAATTTTCTTGTTTTCAAATGGGCAGATTGGCTGTTCTTGCACTAATGACACATTTTTAAATTGTGGTAGCTTGGTAATCTATGATGTGGGCAAAAGTAGGTTTACAGTTGTGAGTGGCATTCTTGAGTTAATAAAGCTGTTGTAATAATCATAACCTGCGTATCTTTTTCCATACGAGCAACTGTAAACCTACTTTTGTCCACCCTGTATTTTATTTATTGTCTGGTGGAACAAAGACCCTTTTGTTCTGTTTTGTTTTATTTTAATTCTGTTGGCTATTTTTTGCACATCTCCTTCAAGTGGGCTTTAGAATCAGCTTGTCAAGTCTGGTTGGAATTTTGGTTAGGATTACATAGTATTGATAGATTAATTTGGAAGAGGAGTCACAGTTTTATAATACTTTACAGCTTGAAAAGTGGTTTGTTTTTCCAGGTATTTATTTAGGTCTTTTGGTCCTTCAGGAAAGGTTTCTTTCCCTATCTTTGTAGCATCTGTGTATTTTTTGTTAGGATCTGTCTTAGATATTTTGTAGTTATTTTTCCTACAAAGATACTTTTTAAATTATATTTTCTAATTGGTTATTGATGCCATATTGGAGTTTGTACCATTCTTTTTATAAATATATATATGTGTGTGTGTGTGTATGTTTGTGTGTGTGTGTGTGTGTGTGTATATATATATATATATTTTTTTTTAATTGATTTCAGAGAGAGGAGGGGAAAGGGAGAGAGAAATAGAACCATCAATGATGAGAGAGTCATTGATCAGCTGCCTCCCGCACGCCCCTGACTGGGGATCGAGCCTGCAACCTGGGCATGTGCCCTGACCCGGAGTTGAACCAAGATCTCGTGGATCATAGGTCGATGCTCAACTGCTGAGCCACGCCTGCTGGACTGTACCATTCTTTATCTCCCTTGTCCTTTGATTCAGATCTGACATACTCTCAACCAGGAGTCCCTTCCTAAACCCTTGGTTGGGTTCAAACTCTGTGTTCTAGCACGCTCCCACTTTGAATTGAAATTTTTTGTTTGTTTGCCTCTCTCCCTTCCAATTGAGTCCAATTACTTATTCAGTGCTTATGTATTCCTACTGCTAAGATGGTGTCCAGAAACATAATAAATGCGTGCAATGCATGGTTTGTTGAATTGTGGCATAGGTTTATGTTATTGTAATAGAAGCCAATGTCTAATTTTATATTCTTTTAAAATGTAGCATTATAGTGAACAGTTTAATCTTATAACAATCACTCTAGTTACTTAAAATAGCTGAAAATGTCCTAGTTGTTTTGACTCAGTGGTTAGAGTGTTGGCCCTCAGACTGAAGGGTCCTTGGTTTGATTCTGGCCAAAGGGAGGGACCTTGGTTGCAACCTTGATCTCCATCCCTGGTCAGGGTACGTCCGAGAGGCAACCAATCGATGCCTCTCTCTCCCTTGCATCTTTGTCTCTCTCTCCCTTCTACCCTCTCTGAAAAGCAATGGAAAAAATATCCTCCCGTGAGCAATGAAAAAAAAGAAAGAAGAGTTTGCCTGGCTGGTGTGGCTTAGTGGTTGAGCATCTACCTAGGATCCAGGAGATTGCAGTTTGATTCCCAGCCAGGGCACATGCCCAGGTTGCGGGCTCATCCCCCGTGGGGGGGTGTGCAGGAGACAACCGATCAATGATGACTCTCTCATCATTGATGTTTCTCTCTCTCTCTCACCCTCTTCCTCTTCTCTCTGAAATCAATAAAGATTACACACACACACACACACACACACACACACACACACACACATATATATTATATAAATAAAGAATAGCTGAAAATAATTGAACGTTTAGTCTGTGCTAGTTACTGTTCCTATGACTTTACATATATTATCTCACTTATTCTTCACAAGGGCTATCTTAGGCAGGTTCCCATTTTAAAGAGGCAGAAACTGAGGCGCAGAAAGTTAAGTAGATTGCTCAAAGTGTGTACTAAGTATAGTAACAAAAATGTAAATATCTATTGAATATGTATAACTATTTAGATTACTTACAAGTTATGGCTGACAGTGACCAACTTCATGCAGATTTTTTAATTTTCCTTTTGAAAATTACTTTCTTCCATGAAATGGAGCACAGATATTTTATGGTACTGTGCTGCTTCTCAGAATTTTATCACATGTGCCTCCGCTTCACAGCCTCATCTCCAGCATTTTTCTTGTCGTCATTGGATGAACAACCAGGAGGACATGGTTCCTGCCGGCAGGAATTTATAATTGAGTTTCCATGATGAGACAAGTACAGATGAAACCTAGGTGTTTTTGGCTAATGTGTCTAACACAGGTTCCCGAAACACTGCCGGAAACTTAGAACCTTGAGTAAAAATAGTGGGTTTTACACAGCATTTCACATCCACTTTGATTCACTTTTTTAGGGATGTATCTGTATTATTTTACTTTGACAAAGGGGTCAAATGCAGAGCAGCCCGCTTTGCCCAGGCACTGAACAATGCCATGATCCCAGAATCTTAATTAACCAGAGACAGGCAAGGACCCTAGGATTAGGAGATTTTATAAAGCGCTTTGCACCATGGAGAACATGGTGCTATATGACCGGGAGCAGATAAAAAAATAAATGATTAGTGCTGTGCCCATACACTTGAAAATGACAGTGACTACCTGTCACTCTCTGAGAGGATGCTTTGAGTCCAGGTGTGCAGCACTGCCCGGTGGTCTGAATGTGGATTTGATCTCAGGAGTTGTTGGGACATAGCTTTTCACATGTCAAAGCTTGTGTGCCCACAAAGTTGCTTGCATTCCCTCCTTACTTTAATTAGCAATAACTTGCAGAAACTGGGCGTTGTGGCCACAGTCAGTTCATTAATTTCTCTATTTCTAAAGTTGCCTCTAGTCCCTTCCATTGCCAGGCACTTTTACTCTGACATTGGAGTTGGGCGTGCCTTCCTGTTGTTTGCGTGAAAACAACAAGGTTGGGAGAAAAACTGAACAGTCTCCTGGCAGAGATGGCATGAGAACCGTCAGACTTGGCTGTCCCCTGCCCTCAGAACCAATTTAGTATTTTGAACATTTCTAGAGTCATGGAACCATCAAGATATTAATTTTGGCCAACAGTTTAAATTGCTTTGTGTATTGGATTTTCTCAGAAGGTAGTAGGTAGAAACCGTGACTACTTGTGTTTCCTAACCTCTCTCCTCTCCCCTTCCTGGTCCCTGGGGAGGTTAATACATAGGGAAGTGGCAGAACATAGTCAGCAGAAGGGGAGAGAGGAGACAGAAGGACCGGGATGGTCCACAGACTGTACAGTCCTCTTCTGAGTGGTTGAGAAAGGATTGTGCCATTTCACTCTAATTTTCACTGTGATGATAACAAACTTGTATGGAGCAATTCATAGCAATGGTTTACTTTCCTTGAGCTCTTACTCTGGGCAGTATATTGTGGCCACTACTTTAGATGTCAATTCCTATTTCATGCTCACAGCATCTCTGTGAGGTAGGTATTATTACTGGTCCCATTTCCCCAAAGGGGAAACTGAGGCTCAGTGAGTTTAATTAACTGGCGTGTAGTCACAGTGCCAGTACTCTATGCCACTCAGACCTCTATGCCTCCCTACAGTAGTATACAGCTGTTGGTAATCATTGATTTTTGTGCACTGGTGTTTATCATGATTTATGTGACTTAGCTTTTAAAGATTTAAAGAACTTTTTATTTCTTCTAAGTGAAGTAGAAATTAAATCATCTAACTTTTCCCACTTTCTGTTTACTTTAAGTAAGTCAAGTATAAGTATGTAGCCTCAGCAAACTATCTGGTTTTAAAAATTATTCTTTTTGCCTCCTGAATGTATTATGTCAGGGATCAATATTAAGAAAAACACTGCAGCCCGGCTGGGCGTGGCTCAGCGGTTGAGCATCGACCTAGGATCCAGGAGATCGTGGTTCGATTCCCGGTCAGGGCACATGCCTGGGTTGCGGGCTTGCTTCCCAGTCGGAGGTGTGCAGGGGACAGCCAATTAGTGAACGACTCTCTCATCATTGATGTTTCAACTCTCTCCCTCTCCCTTCCTCTCTCTGAAATCAATAAAGATATATTTAAAAAAAAAAAAAGAAACACTGTAGAGATCATAATTTTTAAAATAATTGATAGCTTGAATTCGTACCTTTACCATTCAGGAAATGAAGAGTGGAAGAATTATTTTCAGAAAATTGGAAATGAGGCGGTAAATGGAAAGAATTTATGGATGAGAGAGCACTTTGTACAGAGCCCCAGAGTGCATCATAGGACCAGTAACGGTTGTAGTTGACAAATGAGAAACTGACCTCCTGAAGTGGAGAAACTCAGGCTTAGGACATGCAGAAAAGCATTCCCTCTAAGTGACCTGTTTCTGCCAGTGTTACCCTTTTCAACTCTTACCACGTGTGATATTGGGTTCTTTTTATCCCTACTTCATAGGTGGGGAAACTGAGGCTCGTTGACTTGTCCAAGGTTACGAAGCTGTGGAGCTGAGATTTCCCTGGACATGCCTGGGCTCACAGTCCTCAGCAGTGTGACTTTTTATTAAGTGGTTTGTGTTTGGGTGGCAATTTCATCTTAACACAAATTCAGTGTTGAAAAATGTTTCGCTTCTCTTCAGGTGAATTCGAGCATGTTGGGGTCTGGAGAGATGGAATTTACTTTTAACTGCCTATTCATTCAGCCTCAAAAAGAAGCCCCTTACATGTTTGCTCAGGACAAATGATGCTGGATGAATACTAAGAACTGTTTTGATCTGACAAAATTTACTATCTGTGTACCTGTGGGGAACAAAAACAAACTGTGGGCTGGTAAAATTTAGTGCTTATTTACAAGCTTTATTTCCTTTGGTTCCCCAAATTTGCACACATAGGGAGGGCATCATGGTCAGATTTTTAAGGACCATTGGCAGCAGGAAAGGTAAGCGACAGAAGCCAGGGACCCCCCAGTAACTGCCACCTCTGTGAGGTCTGTTGGCATGAAAAATTGAATGGCTGGCTGGATTTAATGGACAATATGGGCTTCTCGATGAAGAGTACTCTGTTCACTCTGATTTGAAAAACAAAACCGAATTAAAGCTTACTGAAGTGTAAACATTTCAAGCACTTGTAAAAATCATAGTTTTTTAGCAGGTGGCTATCACTCACACATGTCCTGAATCCTAACGCACCGGTGTTTGTTAAACACCTCTTACATCGGGCATGGACCGCTGGTGCACTGCCGCTGCTGAGTCTGCCCTCTTACATACCTTGTTCATAGGTAGCTTCTATCCCTACTCTTTCTTCGGGTATTGTCACTTCTGAAGAAATCATTGTGCTGACGTTAGACGTGGCCTCTAAAATTCACCTGGTCTAGCCTCTTTATTTCATAACTAGAAAGTGGAGAAATTATAGTGCTAGTATCTTATCTCTGCATAGCACTTTCTGATCAACTGTTTGCTCTAATGGTCTCAACCACTCTGCTGGGTATTATCCCCATGCTAGAGATGAAGAAGTGAAGGGTTGGGCCCGGATTAGGTAGCTGGTTATCAGCAGAGCTGAGACTCAAACCTGGTGTCCTGATTTGTGCCCCAGGTCTTTCTGTTGCATCACGGTGCTGCTCATACACCTCACAGTAGACTGGCGCAGCACTTCTCAATGTTTCTCCCTCCTGGCCTTCAAGGAGTTCATTAATCCCTGTGTGCTACAGTGAAACTAATTCTGTCTTACTTACCAATGCAAAAGTCATGAGACTCTTGTCTAGTGTCTGAAGCCTGTGAGCAGCATTTAATTCTATTACTGAATTTGGGGCTCAAAACCAGTGTATTTCTCTTTTTAAAAGTAATTTAATGCCTGGCAGGCATGGCTCAGTGGTTGAGCTTCAGCCTATGAACCAGAAGGTCATGGTTTGATTCCTGTCAGGGCACATGCCCGGGTTGTGGGCTCGATCCCCAGTAGGGGGCATGCAGGAGGCAGCCGATCAATGGTTCTCTCTCATCATTGATATTTCTCTCTCTCCCTCTCTCTTCCTCTCTCTGAAATCAATAAAAACATACTTAAAAAATAATTTAATGTTATGATAGGTGAGTACAGTGGTACCTCAGTTTTCAAATGTAATCTGTTCCGGAAGACTGTTCGAGTTCTGAAATGTTCGAAAACCGAGGGACCAACAGCCGATGGCTGGGCCTCAGGACCTTGCGCTTAGTGGAAGCCACGTGGCATGTTCGACTTCTGAGGCAGGATCGAAAACCGAAGCATTTCCTTCTGGGTTTACAGCGTGCGTAAATGGAAATGTTCGTCAGTGGAGATGTTTGAAAACCGAGGTACCCCTGTACTTGTTGATACAAGTGTTTGTTGAGTTAACGTGTATAAGTACCCTAAGTGCTGGATCAAAATACATTTGTAATCAGTTCAGTGCTTACCTGCCCACCTTACATGTTTTGAGGCACCATATAAGGTGCCCTCTTATGGGAGAGGGAGAACAGTGGTCCCCTTGGGTGCTCTCGTGGCGATAGGGGCTCCGAAGCACACTTTGCAGGTGCCTGTCTGTGTAAGCAGTGCTGGTGTGTACCTAGGATGGAGTCTCCCCATGTGGTAGGGAGAAAGATAAAATATCCTGAGTAGAGAGACAAGGGAGTGGGGTGGGTGCTTTTCTCCCTTAGCGCTTGGTCTTGCTCCTGAAAAGAAGGTATTGCGTTTAGTGTAAACAAATTATCTTTGGTTCTGGTGTAAGGCTAAGCGAGATCATTCCTTGTTATATTGACTTGCTTAATCTTCAGTTGCTAAAGTTTGGAGAATGCACCATCCTTGTGGACTTTTGGGGACAAGACTGAAATTTGAGATGCCATTTGTTCGTTCCTCTGTCCCCAGGCAGAATGGTACCCAGTGTAGAGAGCGAATTTTCTTCAGCTGCCCAACAGATTCCACATTCTCTTGGGCAGTTCATGCCATCCTTTCATTTCCTAACGATCGAAAGAACTGACTCTGTGGGCCCTTGTGTTCTGTCTTTCAGGTCTAACTTCAAACTCGTGGCTGTTAATTCAAAACTCTATGCCATTGGCGGGCAGGTGGTTTCTAATGTCGAGTGTTACAATCCTGAGCAGGATGCATGGAATTTTGTGGCACCCTTACCAAATCCTCTGGCTGAGTTCTCTGCATGTGAGTGTAAGGGGAAGATTTATGTCATTGGAGGATACACGACCAAAGGTAAGTGAAGGGGCCGAGCAAGTGGTCCTCTTATACGTCGGCTTCGGCAGCGTGGGGGAGGGCAGAGGGTGCCAGAGGGAACACTGCAGTGAACATCAGTGTGATTTTGTGCATTACGTACTGTACATTTACACATCTGGGAGGAAGCAAGTCTTGTATGACGGGTGGTTTGGACAGGAGGGGCCTCTGATGCCTTTGTGGGGGCATGCAGATTGAACGGGGTAGGGGAGACTGAAGAAAATATGTATTTCTGCTCTGGAACGCCAGCCTTATGGTCTTGTCATCTTACGACTTGGCTGGGTAGTTCCCATCCTTTCCCCCAACGCACACAGAATCCTCCGCATCCAGCACTGTGGAATTCAGTGCCAGACATCCTTGCACATTTTTGTTTTCCTTTTCTCCCTTCTTGGGCACAAACATACAAGCTGTGGATTCTGAAACTCAGCTCTAGGCTGATGCTCACATACCACAGGAAGAGCAAGAGCATGATGTGAGAAGATTCTTTTCCCACCGGTCGTGGGAGGTGGCTGTGCTCTTCATGAAACTATACGTATGTGGTTTTCACATTTTTGGTGGGCATTTTATAGTTAATAATTTGGAGATGGAAAGTTTCTCCAGCAGGTTTTGTACTGCTCTTCTTAGTAGGAAGCCTGTCACTCGTTACTGGCAGAAAGCAGCTTGGCTGTGGTAGGAAAGGCGACGGTGCACCACTGGGAAGAGGCGCCCTTCCTTTGATGTCCCCCCTGGTCCCCCTCCCTGCAACGTAAAGCAGTTGTTTCCAAGTCATCTCCTGGCCAAGGAAATTTATTTCTTCATTTGATCTATCTGATTGTATAATGTCCAGAACTTACAGAAAAGGAATAACTGGACTCTTAGGACTTTTAGCCACATTGAAGTAGCAGATATACCACTATGTGTGACAGCCTGTCACACATAGTGGTATATCTATATGAGATGTAGATAACCTGTCACTCCTCTGTGGTAGGGCAGAGCTCTCCATCCCTGGCTGATAACAGGCTTGGAGAAGTGATGCTGATGTCCCATTAAGCTGTATGCAACCACAGGTAACTGTAAAGGGCAGAAACCCACGTGCTAATATAAGCCTAGGTGACCATGATTTCCTTCACTGTAACCAAATGTGTCTTGCTTTGGGGATTTATGTTAGAGGAAGAAGTTGAGTGTAAGGTGTTTTATGAACATCTAATTTACTTTCTTTTTTTCATGACAGCAAAATATTTTGATTAATTCTTCTTAAAGTGAACCTCTAAACAGTTGCTTTGGTGGGGAGGGTGGTGGGTGCTGTTTTAGTTTCCTGTGGCTGATTTAACCAATGACCACAAACTTGGTAGCCTAAAACAACAGAAATGTGTGTTCTCTCATAGTTCTGGAGACCAGAAGCCCTAAATCAAGGTGTCAGCAGGGTCTTACTCCCTCGGAAGGCTCTAGGGGAAAATCCTTTCTTGCCTCTTCCAGCTCTGGTGTTCCTTGGCTAGTAGTGGCTGCATAATGCTGATCTCTGCCTCTGTCTTCACATGTCTGTCCCTGTCTTTTCTTCTGTCTCTTATAAGGACATGCTTCTCATTGGATTCAGAGCCCACCTGGGCAATCCAGGGTGATCTGCAAGGACCCTTTCTCCAAATAAGGATCCATTCCAAGGTTCTGGGGGCTAGGAGGTGGACATAATCTTTTTTTTTAAAATGTTTTTGTTGATTTCAGAGAGAGAAAGGGAGAGGGAGAGAGATATAAAAACATCAATGATGAGAGAGTCATTGATCGGCTGCCTCCTGCACACCCCGTACTGGGAATCGAGCCCATACCCCGAGCATGTGCCCTGACCGGGCATTGAACCATGACCCTCTGGTTCATAGGTCAGTGCTCTATCACTGAGCCACACTCGACATATCTTTTTGAGGGCCACCATTCAACTCACTATCAGTGGTATGTTTGTCTACACCTTTAAGGAGAGGCAGTAACAAGGATCAGTGCATGGGAAACTGAGCTTTTTTCCCCCCACCCAGGTTTTCATCACTTGTGGAGCTATTCCCAGTGTCCCTCCCTAGTGGCTTGCCAGTGAATATAAGATAGTTACCAGCTTTTCCCTTACAAATAATTGGAAAAAAAAAAAAAAAGAGACCTAGCACTCAATTCATTTATCTTCAACGCTGGTGTTTAGGTTGCAGTGGTCAACTTTATGTGCTTAAGTAAACTATAGGCTCCAGAGAATTCCCGTATGTGCATATGTACCCCTGTGTGTGTGTGTGTGTGTGTGTGTGTGTGTCTATGTCTGTCTTTTCTCCTAGGAAAGTAACTATAGCTATTCACTTGTGAGCATTTCTAAGAATTCTGATTCCTCCATGGATTTTGTAACACAGAATACACCCGGGGGGCTGACATATGCACACAGATCTTTTGGCTTCTTTTCTGAGTAGGAGCTGTGAAGCCCTGGCAGGCAGCACTGTGACCCAGAGTGCTCTGCTAGTAGATGTCCTAGTTTTTCCATGACACTGGCTGAGTCAATGCTTTTTAGATTTGACCTGGAAAACCCTTGCTTGTGTGTTTTCTAGTTTCGAAAGCCACTACTAACGTACCTTTTTCACTTGGGCCACCCACTGTGATTCCTGTCCCAGGTTCCTCAAGCCAAATACCCATGAAGAGATGGTTAGGTGATGTGGATGGATGGATGTTTGTATAAGCGTTGAAAACGAGTTTTCTAAGACGAGAGGGCAGGAGAGTTGCTTGTACTCTGAAGCTGCCCCCCCCCCGCTGGTTAGTCTCTTCCCAGTAGTTCCTAATAGTTCTTTGTACTTAAAACAAATCATGATTGTTATGAAAAAAAAAATTCAGAACTTAAAATTGGGTTCTTAACCTGATGACTTCTTAAGTTAGGTGAGACTTTTAAAATCCAGTAAGTTATAGTTCATGACTTTTATGATAGCTGTTTGACTATTATAATTTGGCAGGCACTTTAGAATTTTTAAAAAATTCATTAGAAAGTAATAGTGACCACTAAAGGGAAGAAGGGTAATTTGTTAAACTTCAGAATCAACTCTAAATGCAAAAGCGAAAAGATCATTCCTTCAACTCAAACCACCTCGTCATGGTCTGAACCCTTGTTGGGTGAGGAGAAGAAACATTGACAGAAGACCTGGAAAGACCTTCAGACCAGGAAGTTTTCCGTGCAAGGATGGTGCTCAGCCATCTGAGCCACTCCTGCAGGGTGGAACTAGATATTTAAAATTTCACAAGCAGTTTTTCAAAAAGAGATGAGGCAGTGTTTTCCCTTAAAATAACGTCAGAACAGGTAGTCTTTACTCTCTGATTTTATCTACACAATGACAGTCCCCTGTGAAACGGGCCAGGGAGAGGGAAGGGCCTTAGTTAGTGTGTGTCTGGTGTTATAATTGGGAAATAGAATTGCAATGATTCTGTGGCTTGAAGGCAGAGGTGAGACTTGCATTTCTCTTACATTTCTTGCATTTCTCCTGACTTTTTGTGTCCTTTCCTTTTGATAGCCCCTGACAATCCTGCTGGGCTCGCTTGTCTGATTTTGTAGAATCTGATGTTAAGAATAGATCCCCTTGGGGCTCAGCCTGGCATCTGTACTAAGTAGTCAGTAGTCTGTAGGTATTGATGAAATTTCTGAGGCTCTGGTTCTTTTATATTGATTGGCCTGGTGGTTGTAAAAGGTGTAAGGGTACTGATTCTGAGGGCCTCCTAGGGAGGGGACGTTCGTGAATGCGACGTGAGGGAGGACAATTCTAGAAGGATCTCCTCCCAGCCATTTACAAAACTGTGTTCCCATTCTTGGCTTTTCTGAAATGTTTTGCCTCCGTGTACAAGGTTATTCAGGTGGAGGCAGACGGTTGCACACAGCCTAGGTAGTCGGTGGTGTTACTTGTGGCCGTGTCATCACTTGGCTCCTGTTCTCGTTTCAGACCGGAACATGAACATTTTGCAGTACTGCCCCTCGTCCGACATCTGGACCCTCTTTGAAACATGTGACGTTCACATTCGCAAGCAGCAGATGGTGTCAGTCGAGGAGACCATCTATATCGTGGGGGGGTGTCTCCACGAACTGGGGCCCAACCGGAGGAGCAGCCAGAGTGAGGACATGCTCACAGTGCAGTCCTACAACACTGTCACCCGGCAGTGGCTCTACCTCAAGGAGAACACGTCCAAATCGGGCCTTAACTTGACTTGCGCGCTTCATAACGATGGCATCTACATCATGAGCAGAGACGTGACCCTGTCCACCAGCTTGGAGCACCGCGTTTTCCTCAAGTACAACATCTTTGCAGATAGTTGGGAAGCATTTAGGCGTTTTCCAGCCTTTGGACATAACTTGCTCGTTTCCTCTCTTTATCTGCCCAATAAAATGGAAAAATGACTGAATTGACTTCGTATTTCAAAGAAACCTGGTTCAAGACAGAAAAAGTGTAGTGTCCCATTTCCAGGGAGACTGACTTCTACAGGGGAAATGTGGGTTCGAAGTAGGTCACATATACACAGCTGTAAATAAGCTTACTTGAACTAATTACTTGAAAACTTGTGGAGAAAAGAGACCAACTTTATTGTTTTTTCAGTTATTGGTTTTTAAATGATGGGAGCAAATCCATGATACTGTTTTCCTCCAGAGAGGATACGTACCCTTGGGCCAGTGACTAAAACTGATCATTGAAAAGGAGCTTCATCATGTCTGCTTAGTAAAGGGCCAAAGTCAATAATTGGTGTGAATGGTAAAGATGATTTTAAGATCTGTTTTATTCAGGTCACTTGAAATATTGTTAATACCTTAAGTGAAAGGGTTTTTTTGGTCATTAATTTACTTCACAAACATTTATATTAACACGTATTCTCCCCACCTCTCCCCTAATTATACCCACATATACTTCCAGTGTGTGTAAAATAGGGTTCTGTGTTCAGATATTTTGTTTGTACGTTACCTTGCAGGACGTGGACAGTGATGGAACCCTACAGTGAAGCCTCACAAGCATCCAGTCCTCCCCAAAACCTGCATATGAACATTCTCAGCTGTTTTTCCAGGCTTTTTTTTGCAATTATGAATGCTGAGTAAATAGGCAAATATAGCCACTTATTTCATTTCTGTGGCAGATTGCAGATACATGTGGACAGATAAGTTGCATTGCTTTTTGTTTACTAGAGGATATATTGTTTAAAAGAATAGATATATATATTTTAAACTGAGTCTTAAATTTAAATTCAGTTGGGATGGAAGGGAAATACCAAATAAGAAAAACAATTGCCTTTAAGAGTTACTTTTATGGAATGCGTTTGACTTAGTTATTATTTTCTTAAGATTGAAAAAATAACCTTATTATATTTAGATCACTCATCTTTCTAATTTAATGTTAGCCTTTTAATTCATTCTTTGCTTGTGTGGGGTAAGGTAAGGGTAGCTGTGAACTGTTTGCCCTGGAGAGAGGGGAGGAAGCTCTGATAGAAGTGGAATGGCCTCTGGTGCTAGTTCTGAAGTTAGGCAAGGAGCTCTTCTTGCCTTGGTGGTTAAATCCAGTTGGAACCCAGCTCAAGCAGGTGTTTGTTTTCAGTAAGTCAGTTAACAGGATAAAAGCTTCTGCCCATTATAGATCAGCATTTCTTTAAAGACATACACACATACTTATGGAAATTTTGTTTTGATTGAAAAACACTCTCTGAAATTCTCTGATCTTTTGTAATGGATTTTGTTCACCTGTGCACTAGATTCCATCCTTTTAACATTCCAGTTACAGTCAGTGTGCCTCACTTTAAGAAAGTCCCCTAGAAAAACACTGTCACAAGTTCATGCGTCAGCAGACGCTTACCGAGTGCCTCCAGTGTGCGTTCACCGTGCAGATGTGGTTTAGAGGAGCTGATGGCTTCAACAGAGTTCCTCGGTCTATCGGGAGTCACTACAGGGTCTCTACAATCATGGCCTCCTAGATATTTAAAATGAGGGTCTGGTTGTAAAAATGTTATTTGCACACTTTTCAGGAACATTACTTGGTAAAATGAGGTAAACCTTTATTGTGGACGTGGAGACAGATCTTTGTATCTTGTCACCAATTAATCCTATCAGTATTCTACTTAGAACACTAGTTTAAGGGTTTCTAAGCCATATCCATTTATTCTCAAATACTTAGCCTTTAAAAACAAACAAACAAAAACAACTCTGAGCTGAAATTTTCCTGGGAATGATACTTTAATAATAGGTTTATATTAATTTATATTCACTATAGAATTGAATTTCTAGTGATAAATAATTTCATTACATGTATTTAAAAATCTTATTTATTTTAGATAGTGTTAACTTTGGTTGCTACAGAGCTAACTTTTAAAGGCTCAACATTATATATTCAGAAGATTCTAGCCATTTGAATTAGTTCTGGACAAGCAGTTGGAGATTGGCTTGTAAATAACCACACCACATAAAATGCAATAGTAGTCCTGCCAATTGGTTCTCTTCTTGATTGCGTTCTTTGGGTCCATTTTCCTAATGCCAACAGTTAGATTCTTGGCCCAAGTGAAGGCATACTCTGATCCACAGAGCTCTTTTGAGAAACCAGGTTTGATGTGTGTGTATATGTGCATATATCTCTGCGTGCGCGTGTGTGTAGGCTGGCGTGTTATACCTCTCTCTAAGACACACAGACGTCTGATAAGGCTCTGTTACTCTGGCTGCCAGCAGTGCTGGGCAAGGTGGAAGGTGCAGTAGGAACAGATCAGTGGACTTGGGACATCCGCCTTCCTGCTGTGCCCATGAGCTGTGCTGACATTTTGAGGGTCATTTGAGTTTAGCTCTGTTCCCTTGTTGGTGCCAGTGTTATAGGGAAGACTCTACCTATGTTAAAAGCAAAGTTGCTTTGAAAATCTTCCCTCATCCCCCAGGATTTTGCTCTTTGACACTATTCCTCTGTTTTCTTCCTTTCTCTAAATGCATTATCTTTTCTGAGATGCTTCTTTGGGGTGCAAACCTCCCATTGTGGAGAGGAGAGTGACTGGGAGAACCCCCAGTGGTGGCCACCCTGCCAGAAGCACCCCGTTTACTGAGAATGGCCTGAAGGGCAGAGAGTGAGTCCTGAGTGTGGGTTGGTAGAGGGGGTTATAGGTCCTTTCTGTCATTCTGCCTGGCTCTCTTTTCAACACCTTTAGTTTCAGAGGCCTCTCCCTTTAGTGTTCTTTGAAAGTTTCTGATGAATGTGTAAGAGTTGATTATTTCAGCAGTGTTGGTTAAGTCATAACATTGAAGTACTGAGAAGGTTATGGATACTAGTAAGAAACACATAGATTAAGATTAAGCCTGAATACCAAAGAGAGTTTAACTTTGCCATTTTTGGGGAACCAAAATCTGAAGTAATTCCAAATGCCTTAGATACCAATTAAAGTCATACTGAGACAGATAAAGCTCTTTCTCTACAAAGGGAGTAATTAGTAAGTGCGCGCCCTCTTCCAGTAAACAGTTATACTTATTGAGCAGTACAGATGCCGTGTTTTCAGATTTCCAGGAAAAGTCATAACTCTGCCTGTTCGGCAGCACAGGTAGATGGGAAGGCCTTGGCCTTCCCGATCAGCCAGTATGTTAGTGAGCAGTGGCTTAAAGCGGAGCACTTGAGAAACAGCATAGTGACAGAAAGGTCATATGGATGAGTGCTGCATGCCTTCCTCCTAGCCAGGGGCGGGGCGTATAGAACATCTATGCCGTCATTCTTTCAGGGCGGCCTTACGAGGGAGCGACACTCCTTTCCTCTGTGCCAGGAATTGGCCGCAGAATCCATGTCCTCAGCACATCCACTGCCAGTCCATCAGAGAGAGATGAAGTCTGTCATCCCTGCTTTAGACGAGTGAATGAGTTAGGTGAGTAGATACTACCCAAATTGGCTTTGAAAGCAGTGAGGCAATTTAGCCCAGGGCCCCAGTTCCCAGAAATGTTTACCGCATGTCCATCATGTGTGCGACAATGCTAATAACAGGATACTGATAGAAATAAGCCACCATCCCTGACCTTGAAGAGCTTACCACCTTGTGCAGATGTTCACTCTAATCATAACTAGAGTGTCCTTCAAATATGCCCACTTCTGTCAGGAACATGGGGCCCTCTGGCTTGGCCCCCTCTTCAGTCCTGGTCCAATCTGTCCATTAACGATTTACTAATAGTCATGAACCAGCTTTTCTGTAAAGTCGAACATCACGTTTTTGTTTTTTATGGTATGCTTTGTTTTCTCACTACTATCCATAGTCTTCTCTGTACTTCATTAAAAAAAAAAAAAATTACGTGATTCTTCTTTATTTAACCTACTAGGCACCACAGCCTATGGAGCCGAGGGCTCAGCAGCTTGAGCCCTCTAGGAGGAGCAAAGCCAGGGAAGTAAGTACTGAGAGAGAGGCGAGCTGTGTGCATGTGTATTTATACCTATGCCTTTAAAACACTTCTGTAAAAAGTATTAGAGGAGTTATCATTAAGACACTAGTTCTGACGAAAAGTCAGTTGATTTTGTCTTTGTGCTAACTGTAAGGGTATTTTCCATCCTTATGTTTCAGTCACATAAGAGTGTTTTTCTTTTCTTGTGTTAACTTCAGAAACAATATAAAATGCACACCGGTTGACACAGGCTGACTTCTGCACTTGACGTAACCATTTCCATTTATTCCTCCAGGAGACAGATGAAAGGTAGAAGATTGTCAATTCTGAGGAGCAAACGTGTACTGTAATTACTTTGGTAGGGTTGGCTGGTGCTTTCTCAAATGGACGTCATAGTTTGTTACTAGTAAAGAAAAGGAAAATGTAATCTGCATTGTTGTGTCGTTTTTCTAAAAAAACCCCAAAACTAAATAGGGGCTCCTTAGATGTCTCTGCAGTGTTTTCATATCTAGTGGACATTTTGGGGGAAATGATAATCTGTAGAATGAATAGTTCTGTTATGACTGATACTTTGTTATCAAGATTGTATTGAGTCTGAAATGTGTGGCTTCAAATGTAAACATTATCATATGGTTCATTTAAATGCGATGATGCCTATGAAGCACTTGCCCAAACAGCGTTCGTTTTGTGTTTAGAACTCTAGAAGGAAACCTCTTCAAATAAAGTAGTTCTAAAGCGGCTTTTGTTGTCTGGTAGGTAGTGTGTACCAGCTGCGCACCCTGGGCTCTGCCCCAGCTGGGAGGAAACGGGTGCAGCAGGAGACGGGCCCTGCCCGGGGCAGGTGGCGCCCGTGGTGGCAGGAAGAGCCAGGTGCGGCCGCACACACTGAGAGCTGTTGGCGTTGCCAAAGGGATCTGCGAGGAGGACCTCTGACTCCTTATAATTCTGAGTAAAAAATGAAGTTTACATCCCACAGCTTCCCAATTATGGCCCGCTATGATCTGTTCCTCCCTCTGTTTTCTAACTTTCCCCACTTTCCTTTTCAGCACCCTTCATTCCAGGAAAACTGAAACCACTGCTTCTTGCATCTCTGTTGCGTCAGTTATGACTGGCTGGCTGGGAGGGCACTGGGGGGCAGTGTCACAAAATGGGGTTCAGATGCTAGACGACACCCCATGGATGTCCATTCCCTTTCATCCTCTGAGTGCCCCACATGTGGGAGCACTCCTGCACACACATGCCCCTCTTACACAGACGGTTTTAAGAACGATCCAAATTGAATTCTACCACCCCATAAAAAAACCAAAGACTTACCTGCCTTTTCCCCAGGGAAGACAAGCAAAAATCCTATCCAGCTACGGCATCGAAAGGGGACATCACAGTTCACTGAGTCTCAAGTCCGGGGTTGTCAGGGCACGTCCACCCTCCTAACTCTGTTTTTACAACCTATAAGTTAATGAAAAATTTATTTCCTACACACCCAGGACACAACAAAACCACCACATTCAACGCTAATTGAGCACTTACTCTGTGACAGGAGATCTAAGCATTTTTAAATATATATTTCTTTATTGATTTCAGAGAGAGGAAGGGAGAGAGAGAGAAATGATGATGAGAGAGTCGTCATTGATCAGCTGCCTCCTGCACGCCCCAGTGGGGGCACCGGGGATCGAGCATGTGCCCTGACTGGGAATCAAACCACGATCTCTTGGATTCTAGGTCGATGCTCAACTGCCAAGCCACGCCTGGCCGGGCTCTAAGCATTTTTATATAACTTTCTTAATCCTCACAACAATACCATGTGGTAAATATGAATATTGCCCAACATCGCAGCTGAAGAAACAGGTACTGCAGGTCACAAACTGCCATTTGGAAAGAGGGTGAAGGGAAAATTGCACACAGCAGTCACTGATTCAAATTGTATGCTTTTTCCTGCAGGTAGGGGCTAGCTAGCAGGGGCTCCCTGCCCTGGTGGTGGAGTGGGTTTCTGGTCAACCAGCCTGGGAGCCCTTGGCCCTGCTTTGCAGCGGGATGCCCGTGGTCGTGCCTGAAGGGATGGGCAGTCCTCTTCCTGTTGGCCTGGTCATGGGAGGTGTGTGGAAGAAGCCAGAGGATTTCTGTGAAGGCTGGGGAATTCTAGGTCCCTTTTGTGGGCTGTGAACATTTCCTTGGCAATAAAAACCTTTTAAAAAGCCAGTTAGATGCTGATAGGTCTGATACCTGGCAACTCTGTGGGCCACAGGCCCAGATCTCATGGAGGCCAGGTCCTTGAACTTGGAGCCCATCTTTGTGATTTCTGTCTCTTGGCCACAGGTTTCTCACTCATATCCTTCACCCTCAGCTTAGAGGCTCCAGGCTCTTCCTCAGCTTTGGAAAAACCTGGAACAGTACACCTGAAACTACTATAAGATAATATTGAATGTCAAATGTAATTGAAAAATAAAATTCAAAAAGAAAAACCTTAGACAATAGGGATCTCCCCTTGCCCAAGACTACGTCCTAGGGAATACTACTTGAGTAGAAATGACTGTTTCTGTGTGCAGGAGGAGTTTGGGGATGAAATTCAACCCTATTTCTTTGCCTCCTCCAAGGGCCCAGTCCTACTATATTGTCCCAAATCTCTGTTCATGCATCTTGTTTGAAGCAGAGACTGGCTCTTGCAGTTCTGCAAGGTGTGTGTTATCCAATCCTTTGCAGTTGCCTGGCTGCCAGTGAAGGATTAAAAGTATGGACTCCACAGTAGGACTGGCTGAGCTTGCTTTTCAGCTCTGCCAGTTTCTAGCCTTGGTCAGTTACTGCATCTTCCTTGGCCTCAGTTACTTTTCCTGCAAAATAGATATAACAACAGTATCCACTCCATGGCATGATTGTAGAGATTGAATGAGAACATCCATGTAAAGCATTCAGAATGGCACCTGGCACATGGTGTGCAAGAACGTGAGCTGTTATTACCAAAGCCTACAGCTGTTTCTTTTACACCTTCAAATGGGCAAGTTTGCCAGTCTCCTTAAGCCTTTCTTAAAATACCTCACTGAAACCATTAAGAGGTAGTTAACAAATTCTAAGACCCGGATATGTTTCTACCACTTCTCCCAAGGAACTGGCTCAAAGGGTCTGAGTCCCAAGATACAGCAATGTAATCGTTGCCTTGTGCCCTACGTGAGGCCAGGGATGGGGAGTCCTGCGTATCCTACCCCTCACCTTGACTTAGCTGATTCCCTATTTCAGCTTTAGATAATTTGCAACATCCCATCCCAAGTACCAAACTCTTTATTAAGACTTTGATTGGACCAGCTCAAGTCATGAGTCCATGAGTGCTGGGAAAATTTCCCAGGGTTGAGACACGACCGAAGAGAGGGGCTGGCGACTCCAGAACTACAAGTTTATTAAGGGAACTTATAGACAAAAGTATCATCTTGGGGGGCAGCAAGAAAGTAGATCTCTGTACCCAAAAGGGGATGGGGCTTGTTCCATAGAGTCAAGTGGTTTGTAGCCTTGTGGAATGTGCTTGTTAAGAGTTGTATAATCCAGAGCAGTGAGCAAGTTAATGGGTCCACTTACCTATGCAAGGATATTCTTCTCAGTGATACCAGGCCACCCCTGCTACAGTGAACTGTCAGCTTTCTTCGTAAGATGACATTGGTCATGCTAAGCACTGGGCATCATTCTACTTAACAATGAGGCCATCACTATGGTGGGGGTTTGGGGGAGCTCCAGCTCAGCCCCATGGAATAAATTTCTCTCAGATAATAGGGCCCTTACCAGGAGAAAGGGGTGTCCACTGTTGCCTCCCCAAAAGACCCCCCTGAACAACCTGCTGATTCAGCAGAGCGAAGTTTATGTTTACTGTAGTGAGGGAGGACACCACTTTGAAAGAGTCTTAGTCATGTCTCAGAAGGGGAGAGTCAGGTTTTGAGGCCTGGGCTGGGTGAGTTTAAAGCAGGTCTCGAGACTGGGCAGAGCGTATGATGTAAAAGCTTAGGGCACAGGGCTTTGTGGGCACAGTGTAGTGAGAACCTTCGAGCTAGCCTTGATGAGCGAGCTGGGAGTCTTGGTAAGTAGGCTGGTGAGCTGGTCCACAGTGTAATGGAAGACGAGCCTTATGAAGATACTTGTACCTGGATACAGCTTCAGCTGCGTCCCTTAGCACATGTGTTTGTCTTACATCATAGTTCTTACGTGCATTCCTTAGTCCTGTTTTGAAGTCTCCTTGTTGATAAGTTGTTTCACTTTTTTATCACCTCCAGTCAGGGCACACAGCAAAGCCTGTACACTGCAGATTCTTAACATATTTGTTGAATTTAGAAGGTTTTGAAACCTCACTGAGTTTTCTAAAAAGAAATGTAGTTTTTGGTTTATCCAGCCATAAAATTTCCTTAGAGGAAATATGATAGTGTTTTCTTGATGAATGACCTTTAGTAGGAAAACCTTGCAGTTAACCTGTCCAGCAGGTGGGAGAAGTTCCAGCTCCTGGCCAGGGCTGGAAAGAAACTCTACGCACTAATAGGAGTGATGGCAAAGCCTGGGAGCTCAGGAGCATGCAGGTAAGTGGAAACTGAGCTCCCTCGCTTGACGTGAGGGCTCTAGTGATGTTACTGTCACTTACTGAACCAATCTTTTTAGGTTGAATGCCGCAAACATGCAGGAAACAGAATTTGAGTACTGGATGAAAAGAGAAGTCGAAAAATGAGAAGGATGTTGTTGCTAGAAAGTGTGTTGGGTCAGTGGCAGAGGGCCAGTCTCTGGCCTGTGGTTTGATTTTCCACGAACCAGGGTAGGACCTCCTGAAGGGAAAGGAAGTCCAAGGAGCAGAGATCGCACCCCTCGGGTCACGTCCAGCCCTGGTAGATATGGGATGGTGCTGATGGAAGGACAAGAAAGCAGAGGCAAGAGATCTAGAAAGAGACACTGTTATGCAAATGGTTTGAGGCTGGAGGTGTGACTTTTCTCATAAAACATGGTGTATATGTACATGTTTGCCTGCTGGACTTATTTTACCAAAGTTTCTACAATCGAAACAATGTCCTTTTGAAAGTATGGGGGTGGGGGTACTATATTAGTTTCTTAGGGCGGCATAGCAAAGTATCACAAATGAACTCTAACCTTAAAACCACAGAAACACATCCTCTGATAGTTCTGGAGGCTGCAAGTCCAAAATCAAGGTAGCAGGGCCATGCTCCCTCTGAAACCTGTAGGGGAAGCCTTCCTTGACACTTCTGAGCTTGTGGTGGTTTGCTGGCAATCTGGCGTTTCTTGTCACTACATCACTCCAGTCTCTGCCTTGGTCATCACATGGTGTTCTCCTTGTGTGTGTCTGTTTCCACCTCCTGTCTTCTTAAAAGGACACCTGTCATATTGGATTAAGAGCCCACCCTACCCAAGTATATTATCTTAACTAGTTACATCTGCAACAACTCTACGTTCAAATACGGTTAAATTCCTTGGTCAAGGGGTTAGGACTTAAACATACCACCTTTTTCTGGGGGAACACAATTCAACCCATAACAAGTACTAAATCTTAATTCAAAACTTTCTAAAATTTGCTACTTTCTACATAATGCCATTCATTGAGAAGGGGCACATTGCATGGCATGAGGACTGCGGAGTCGAATACTTCTCTCAGCTCCCCACTTCAGCATGATGCAGTCAGTATTTTTAAATGATTATGCGTCTAAAGGAGCAGGTTAGATTAGTCCTACACTGTTCATCATGCTTTGACTTCTATTTTTAATCAACAACA